CCATTCTAAGAGCTTTCAGCCTAGTGTTATGACCCAGGGGAGTGGGGAGGTCCCAGACCACCTCTCCCCTCTTCCCCAGAGGCATGTGCAGCTCCTGCCCCAAAGACCTAAGCTGAATCACCTGTGCCTGAGTGTCTACCAGCTGCCATTGATGATCCAGATTCCTTTACAAAGTACTCACTTCTTCCAGACTCCCTTGCAGCTAGGATTACCATGTAACTAGCCCTGACTAATGAGGAGAAAGAAGGAACTATCAGGTGAAAGGGTACAGTATCAGAGGAGGCTTTTGTGCTCCTGCCTTGAAGCCCAGAAGTAACAACAACCAACTTGTAAGCATGAGGGAAAGATAAATTAAGGGATTTTAGCCCTAACTTTTTAAGATGATGAGATAATGCCAGCTGCTGCCTATATCTAGATTTCTCACTATGCATAAAAGTATATATCCCCTGCCGGGTGTGGTGGTGCATGCCTTTAATCCCAGCACTTGGGAGGCAGAGGCAGGAGGATCTTTGTGAGTTTGAGGCCAGCCTGGTCTACATAGTGAGTTCCAGGACAGCTGGGGCTACAAGGAGACCCTGTCTCAAAAAGACAAAAAAAAATTATATATATATATATATGTATCCCCAATTGTCCAAGCCACCAACATCTACATTTCTGTTTCAAAACTCCTGAGTGTTCTAAGCATCTTCAGTGTTCCACCTGTTTGTGTCTCAATGGTCCTTGAAGTGGAGGTTGTGTTTAGTTTGGTTTCACAGATGAGCACAGGTGACCTGTAACTGGTGTAGGATGGATTCAAGCAACCAGTCCAGCTCCAGGGCCCCTCCCTAAGTCACACAGCCCCATTATATCCCAGCCCAAGTCTTCTCAGTACCCCTTCCTCTGTAGAGATCACCCTCCAACCCGGAACCACACACACACACACACACGCACACACACATACACACACACACACACACACACACACATACACACCCCTACACCTGTCTGATCCAACTGCAGTCCAGAGTCCCCACTCCCTGGAAATCTGCCTTGACCTTATGGCTTAGAGGTAGCACCCTGGGTGCTGCCCCATCCAGGCCCCTCCACCACCATCAGGCACCCATCCTGCCAAGCTCCAATGGCTTCTGCTTCTTTGTCTTGCCACAAGAAAAAGAACAGGTAGACCTTGATCACCTCTATGTCATCAGCATGTCCAGATTCAGAACCAGGCACAGAATGAGCTTCCTGGAATATTCTCGAACAAACAAATGAGCACAAGAATGAATGAACAGCCTGCAAGAAATCCATGTTGGAGAATAAAATTCGACCTGGGGGAGCAGTATGTGGGGTACAGTGGGGAGGTTCTGTGCAGGAGAAGCTTGGGGTGACCACATCTACATCTTCAGGAGCCCACTGTGTGCACAGGGAGTAGAAGTGGGTGATTTGGAGCCCCCAGAGTAGAAATGCAAACCCATAAAGTGGGTTCAGGACTGTGTGTTTGTGTGCATGTGCACTCCAGTGCTAATTCCCAGGAGCTATCCCGGATGGTGGGTGGGGTACATGTCTTGGGGTGGGGGTCACAGGGCAACCTACAGGAGCTGTTCTCTCTTTCCACTGTGTGGGTCCCAGGGACTGAATTCAGATTGTCAGGCTTATTAGCACGCACCTTAATCTGCTGAGCCATGTCATTGGCTCCCACCATGTTTGTTTGTTTTTAAATTTTTTAATCTTATTTTTATTTTATGTGTATGAGTGTTTTGCCTGCATGTATATAAGTGCACTAAATGTGTATAATCCCCCCAGAGGTCAGAAGAGAGCATTGGGTCTCCTGGAACTGGAGTTATACATGGTTGTTAATCACTATGTGGGTGCTGGGAACCAAACCTAGGTCCTCTGCAAGAGCAGCCAGTACTCTTAGCCACTGAGCCATATCTCCAGTACCCCTCAACACCTCCTTTTTGAGACAGGACCTTTCACTGGAATTTTGGGGCTCTCTGATTAGTCTGGGCTGCCTGGCCAGCAAGCCCCCAGAGATCCTTCTGTGTCAATCCAACCCCCCACAATGCTGGAATTGTGGGCGCACACCACCACATGCAGCTTTATTTACATAACTCAGGTCCTCGGGCCTGTGTGACAAGCATTTTACCAACTGTGCTATCTCTTGAGACCTAAGAACCCACTTTAAAAAAATATTTTTTTTATTTTTATGTGTATGAGTGTATTGCCTGCACGTGTGCAAATACACCCGTGTCGTGCAATACTTGCAGAGATCAGAAGAGGGATTCAGATCCCCTGGGACTGGAGTTACAGATGGTTGTTAGCTGCTATATGGGTTTTGGGAATCAAACTCAGGTCTTCTACAAGAGCAGTCAGTGTTCTCTGCTGTCCCAAAACCCCACTTTAAAAAATAATTGTATTAGCCAGGCATGGTGGTGCACGCCTTTAGTCCCAGCACTCGGGAAGCAGAGGCAGGCGGATCTCTGTGTGTTCAAGGCCAGCCTGGTCTACATAGTGAGTTCTAGACAGCTGGAGCTACAGGGAGACCCTGTCTCAAAAAGATAAAAAAAAAAAATCTGCATTTTTTTTTGATGTGTATAAGTGTATTATCTCCTTGTGCGTAAAGTATACCCATGTTGAGCAACACCCACAGAGGTCAAAGGCATCAAATCCCCTGGAACTGAAGTTACAGATGGTTATTAGCCACCATGTGAGTGCTGGGAACCAAACCCAGGTCTTCTGCAAAAGCAGCCAGTGCTCCTAACCACTGAGTCATCTCTCCAGTCCCAAGAACACACTTTTTAAAAAGGCCTCCTAACTAGGCATGGCAGCTCACATTTGGAATCCCAGCATTCAGGAGGCCGAGGCAGGAAGAGTCCCAGGCCAGCCCAGCCTACATAGGAAGACCCTGTTTCAAAATATCAAAAAGAATTTTTTAAAAAGGGACCTCAGCTGTATAGATGGAAGCCCTTGCTAACTGCTGTGCTACTCCAGAACGGTGGGACATCTTGAAGGAGGGGGTTCCTCCCAGGGTGTGAGCAGCAACCATCTTATGAATGTGAGGGAAAGATAACCTAGAAGGGGGACCAGAAGCCTCCTACCGATACCGTGCCACTTCCCATCCAGGATCCTGCCAAATGAGCAGCTCCTCTGTAACCCAAAGGCTCTCCCCAACGTCTCCCCAACATCCGGAACCCACTCAGGGCTCCCTTAGGTAACCAGGGTTTATGAGAGGGGAGGGTCACAAGAGGAAGGACACAGAGGTCAGAAAAGACCTGAGGGACCAGTACAGCTGTGGCAGGCCCCAACCTTGCCAGAGACCCACTAGTGACTTGTGGCAAATGCCTTCCCCACTCTGGACCTGAGAGGTGAATGGCCACTATATGTAAAGCCATGAAAGGAGAAGGAATCATGGGGATGGGACAATGAAAGGTCCAGGCAATTAAGGGACCATCTTGCTATTCAAAAACTAAGTCTTACCACTCCTATAGCCACCATCCCCGCCTGCAGCAGCCCATGTCCCAACCAGCTCCCTCCTGGCCTCCCGCTCAAGCAGCCTTAAGGGGGTCCCTATCAAAGGGCCCCTGTCTGATCCTCAAGTGGGGCATTGAGAGGCCCCTGCATGAGCTGCCCAGGTGATCACAGCCCGCTTAGCTTGGCTGGCCACACGAACTTCCCCAAACCCAGCTATTTCCTGTCCCTCAGCTGCCCCCTCCCCAGTGCCTGACCACAGGGCACAATCCCACCACACAGCTCAGCACCAAAGGTCCCAGCCAGTGCTGGGGGCAAGGAGGGGGGAGACAAGCAGTTCACCTAGAGACCAGAGCCTTCTGATCCTTGGGCCATACGGTCCCTTACTCTCCTGGTGATAAGATGTAAGGCTAGGGACAAGACCAACAGTCTCTGCCTATAACCTCTGATCTCACCCTACTTGCTGGGGATCTTTTGGAGTGGGGTCAGGGGTCTTTGCAAGATACAAGCCCACAGCCTTGCATGCTAGGCAAGCCCTCTGTCACCGAGCTACATCCCAAGCATTGGTTTTGGTTTTGGTTTGTTTTTGTTTTTGTTTTTGAGACAGGATCTCACTATGCAGCATGCTGGCCTCAAACTCAAGATCCTCCTGCCTCAGCTTCCCAAATCTTCCATCGTGCCAGGCATTCCATCTCTCTTGGTATGGGTGATAGATTCTGACTCAAACTACTCTGGATCTCTCTTGAAGTCCTTCCCAGACAGGCCCCCCACAGCTCAACAGCCCCAGAGGGGAAAAGTAAGAGATAGAGAAAGAGACAGGATCAGAAAAACATCACTCCTGGATCCAGCTGTGCCTGAAGCCAGATTCCCAGACTTTTCCCTCTATGGTGAGAGCCAAGACCCATCCAGGCCATAGGGGCATGGGTAATGAACTTGATTCACTAAGGTTTCTGTTACTTTATACCCATCTTCTTCCAGGGAATGCTCTTCAAGATGAGGTCAGCCAGGATGAGCAAGCAGAGAGCCCTGCCCTTCCATCCCAGTGGATGCCTGACTCCTCTCTGGCTGTTAGAGTACTGAGCCCAGCCCTTCCACTGTCATGGGAGGCCTGCTACATTCTGTAACTTTGGCCTGGACCAACCTTCTTTCTGCGCTACCTGCCTCTCCTTCACTCAGTTTGGTGACGTATCCCCCAAAAGACTTCATCCTCTGGACTCAGATCGTCCGGTTTTCTCCATGACCCTGGTGGTGACCACTGCTTATGATCTGTCTCCTGCCCCAGGCTTTGAGTCTCCAGCATCCAGAGTGTCCCTGGCTGTGTCAGGGAGGACAGGGTGTGTCCCTCTCCATGTGAGCAGAGTTCCTCCTTGATTAGGGAGACAAGATGTTCACATAGTGACCTGTGGTCAGAAATAATATCAGGGGCAACACTGATATGCTGAGTAGGCCCCTGAGGATGAATAGAGGTACTGTGCATGTATGTGCTGGGGTTTTTAAGACTGGAGGCAGGTCCTCTGCCCCTACACCTTCTCATGAACCACAGGAGCCAAATGGAAGCTTCTAGCTGCTTTATTGGCCCTTCTTCCAGGTCACACACAAGTGATGACACAGGTGCTGTTGGAACCCCTTGCAGTCCTCTGCCAGTCCTGCAGGCCTTGCAGGCCCATCTACACCACAGGCAGCTCCCTCAGGATCCCTAACCATGGGAAAGCCAGCAGAGGGGTATGGAATGGACCTTCCCTGCAGATACCACAGAACACAAGCTCTGGCTGGCTCTGCATCCACCAAGGGCCAGCCTGAACAACTGGGCAGCCCTGGGCAACCCATTCCAGGCCTGTGGTTGTTTGAGCACAATCTTGGGCAGAACAGATTGGAGTGATCATGGGACAGCCCGACAGCCAGGCCCTAAAGCTGCCCATAACTGAGGTGGCCCTTGAACAGAACCCACCACCATGTAACCATCAGGGCCAGTGCAGGTGAGGACAGTGTATCAGCAGAAGGTTGTGGTTCATGGGAAATGACTGCTTAGGATAGAAACAATTTCCCACAGGGAGCAGAGCAGTTGCTAGAATGTTCCCAGGATGCCCCAGCCTCCAGATGACTGACCAGAGGCAGCCAGGTACCAGTTTCACTGAACTGAACAGTGGGACAATACCACCATTTCTTTTTTTTTTCTTCTGTTGACACCTCAGTTTTTTATTAGATTTTATCACAATTCTGAATGCAGCTGGTTGGCTGAGTTGCTATTTAAGCAGCCTATTTGAAGGAATTTTATATGTATATATTTGGGGGAAGAAGGGGTGGCTAATTGGTGTCACGGTCATGAACTGCCCTGTGGCCTAAGGGCTTTGTATGAACTGGCACCCGGCACTGTTGTTGAGCAAGAATCCTTTCCTGATTCCACAGGCCTGGTGTTGTGAGCTGGGGCTGCTGGCTGGTGGCTATTAACCAAACTCACCCAAACCTAGCGTGACAGTACTCTAAACTAGTGTGTTACAGATGAAGATAAGCTGAGCTGCTGGGCTGAGGATTCAGTGACTCAAAGTGTCATCAACCAAGGAGTGACCCAGTTGTGAGTGAGGGGCCTCCAGGAGGAGAGGCCAACAAGAAGGGCACAAGCAGATCACCCTGAAGTTCGCTGGGGGATCCACGCAGGCCACAGTGGCCACCAAAGCGAAGAAGCACAAGGAGACAGCTTTGCCTCTCTCCTGGCCCAGGGGCTAGGGCCTGGCTGGATCACACCTCAGAGTATGGGGGTGGTGGGGGGTCCCCCTCTGGAGACTTGGAGGGCAGAGACAAGGCTTCCTCATAGGATGGGAGGGCCACCTGGGAGAGACAGAGAGAGCAGCTGAGCACCATCAAGAAAGACCCATGAGTTCAACCTGGGGTGCAAGGACCCAAACGCCCATCTCTAGCAAAACGATGATGACAGTGTCTTGTACACTAGGATTCATCTGTGAGACCTCGGTACACTTCCTGTACCCACAGGGGACGCTCCTGACTCAGCCTGTTCTACCTCAACATCCCAGTGTCTGCATGAGCATTTCCAGTCCATCTGATCTCAGAAGAACTGAGTCCCATCCCTCCCATCCAGGGGGTGGACATGTGACCCAGGATGGACCACTCAGGTACAATTCGAGCCCCTTGGCTATAGTCCTTGGTCTGGAGAAAGTCATGTGACCCAAGCTAGTTCAATCAGATATACTACTGTTTCTATTGGAGTTACTGAAAGGGTGGGATGTCAGCCTATGGGTTTGGGCAGCTATTTTGCCACCTTAAGGAAGGCCTGCCTGAGGCGCCAATACTGAGGAAGGTAGAGTCAAGACATAGAGACCAAACCCTATGGTCAGGACTCAGCCAGACTGACACAGGATGGGGCGGTAGATAGATGAATGGATAGATGGATGGACAATGGATGGATGGATGGATGGATGGATGGATGGATGATAGATGGAAGGGTAAGTGGGTGAGCAGATGGATGGATAGTGGACAGATGGACAAAGGATGATGATAGATAGAGGGGTAAGTAGGTAAGTGGGTGGATGGATGATGGATAGATGAATAAATGATGGCTGGTTAGATGATTGAAGCATAGATGGGTGGATGTATGGATGGTCAGATGGGTGGATGGAAGGATGATGATTAGATGATGGGTGGTTGTATGGATGAATAGATGAGTAGATGTATGGATGGATGAAGGTTAGATGGGTGGTTGGGTGAGTGGATGGGTGGACAGATGGATGGGTAGGCAGGAATATGGGTGGGTAGATGGATGAATGGATAGGAAGACAGGTGAATAGATGGGGTGGATGGATGGATGGATGGATGGATGATGGTTGGATGGATGTGTAGATGAATGTATGGGTGAGTGGGTAGATGGATGGATGGATGGATGGATGGATGGATGACATCTTACCCTCTCAGAACTGACAGTGTTTACATTTCCCCTGGTCCAGCCATCTTCTTACAAGTAAAGAAACTGTAGCTCTAAGAAGGAGAAGAACCAGCCCCACATGGTACAGCAAGAGAGTGGCAGCACTGGGACATGACCCTCCAGCAGCCTCACCTTTGGGAGCATCTTGGTGCTGCTTCTCTCCAAAGCCGAGTTCATGTACTTCATCAGTCTGTAGCATCTCCACACGCACTTGAACATGTAGACCTGGAGAGGAGCCTCGTCAGGCTGAGCTTTGCCCACCCTACTGCTCTTGCCTGAGATGTACTGAACAGATGTCTGGAGCCTCCCAGGAAGCCACTACTCACTCCAGAAGGCAGAATCCATCAACTGTTTAGACCCTCAATTCTAGTTTAGGAGCCCCTCATGGTCCAACCTGATGTGTTCCGGAGACTGCCCTTCCTAATGCCCACAGCCACCATGTAGCAAAGGCTCCTCAGTGTTCTGACCCACCTCCAGCTTCCCTGGGCACAGCTCTACACAGCCTACTTGGCCACCCCGAGTGATGGGTATCTCACTATCCAAGGGTCCACCCATCTTAAGACAGAGCACATGGTGGGAAAGTCTTCAAAACTGCCTCTGAGCTGGGCATGGTAGCATCTGTCTATGGCCCCAGCCGTTGGGAGGTAGAGGCAAGAAGATTAAGAGTTCAGAGTCAGCCTTGGCCACATAGTGAATTTGAAGCTAGCCTGAACTATACAAGACCCTGTCTGAAAAAAAAAAAAAATCCCGATGCATTAAGTTCATGAAACAGTGTGTGTAACATCAGTGTGTTTGTCATTAGAATCACGTTCACAGTGTGTACACACTTGTGGGCACTCAGCTGCTGCAGTAACTGCTTGCTCTTAGCAGTGGAGATAAGAATTGAAGATGTTTCCCTAGCCCAGAAGAAAGCCTCATAGGACTGAAGTCTAACCAAGGACAGCACACTGAGCCGGCGCCACACTGAGCTGCGTGCTGAGCCAGGGCAGTTGAGCAGACAGCCTCACAGACCCAGAGCCTCTAAGATGGTATCCCGGAGGATTCTGAGCAAAATTAAAGCAGTTGGGACAGGAGGGCTAGAAAAGAGGGCGGGAAGGGAGGAGATCGAAAGCACACCTGTCTCTGCCTCCTCGCAGTCAGCTATAGGAAGACCTGGGCTACAACAGAGTCTTAGCCATGCTCACAGAGCCTTGGAATGGAGCCACTCACCTTCAGGATGAGGACAGTGATGAAGGCCACTGAGAAGATCACCATCATCTTGATGAACTGGCTGTGCGGCATGCCCTCCTGGCTCGGGAGGTAATTCTGCAACAATATGGGGCCACAGGAACACCTTTGACCCTAGGGGCTCTAGTTCCCCCATTATGCAGGGTCACCAACCACACTCCACACCATATATATCCACTACCTTGGCAAGTCCCAGCCAAAGCCTCACGAGGCCTGGGAAGTTGGTGTGGCTGATGCTTTTCAGGCTGGGCATGGCCTATGTCCTCACTAGATGGCTTGGGCTGATAGGAGTCCCCTAGACCTCTAATACCCAAGAGGACACATACACACACACACACACACACACACACACACACACACACACCTGTCCCCCAGGGACGCTCCAGGCAGGGCCAACTTTCTTAATGAGGGTATAGAAGACATGACCTCTAGGTAGGGGGCAAATATGCCCACACGTTCTGTTTGTTTCTTTGTTTGTTGAGAAAGAGCCTTACTGTGTAGCTCAGGCTGGCTTGGGACTCACTATGTAGTCCAACCTGGTCTCAGACTCACAGCAGTCCTCCTGCCTCAACCTCCTAAGTGCCAGTACCACAGGCATGGACCAACACACCCAACTCCCCCACACATTCTTTGATGCTCCTTCATCCAAAATGGGGAGCAATGGCCTTTGCTCTGGAGGATAGCTGGACCTGGCGCTCACTTCTAACTTCTGGATCAGCATGAAGACATTGCCGTGGAGCCTCCTTTTCTCCTTCATCCGTCCATTGAGAGATGCCAGCAGCCAGGCCCGAGGACACTCAGGCTGCCCTACTTAAGATCTCCACAGGGAGGAACCAGGCAGTGTCAACACTGGTGCAGGGAGCCCTGGGGAGTGAAGTCCTCCAACCCAGCACTGAACTCACCCTGCAAGCCACTCCCAAGTTCCCAGTTCTTAGAAACTGTGACATAACAAGTGTTTTGTCATTTTAAGGCATGGTGCTTGGGGACAAAGCATTAAGCAGCAATGGAAGTTTGGTGTCGTTGCTATAATGCAATTCCCAGAATAGGATGCCTTGTTTCTCATTGTCACCAGGCCTCCTTTCATCCCAAGAAACTTCTTCTGACAGCTGTTCCCCCAATAGATCACTCTGTGCCTGAGTCTTCTTCTAAGGAAACCCAGCCTCCAGTCACTGGGCCCAGAGAGGGAGAGAAAGCATATGGCCCCAGGTCACACAGTATGGGCATGGTCTGGTCCTTACCATGTGGTTCATGGACTTGAAGTTGAGGTAGGTGGGCACTTCTACATAGGAGCTGCATAGGGTCAGGATGCTCAGGCAGAAATCCAACAGCTGCAGTGCCATCAGGGGGACCTTGGAGGGACCCTTGGGAGGACGAAGAGGGACAGTGAGGATCAGTGAATGGGGCACAGAGTGGCCCTCCCCTGAGACGCTCTCGGCCAGAAGTGCCCCATCATCCCCTCATTCACTGTATACAGGGAAAAGGATACTAAGGTGACCAGAACAGGGATCTTCTGAGGCCCCAGCCCAGGGCTTGCCACCTTCCAGCAGCCCTATCCTTTCAAAGTCCATAGTCAGGGACTATGTGGGCCACTGTGAAGGGACTGTGCTTGTCATGACTGGCTAAGGCCACCACACTTTCCCTCTGTAGGAAGTTCGTTGACCTTGACCATCCCTGTCCCTTGATCCCCAAAGAAAGAACCAGACTGAGGCTGGGGCCTAAAAAGGGACAATCCCCTTTCCTTGGAGGTAAATCCATACATAGCAGGGGTTAGGGCCCTTGTTAAAGAACAAGGAGAAAGGAGACCCAGCCTGAACCAACCAGACCAGGCCAGGCCATGCACAAGGGTACTCACGGGCCGGGACCGGGAGGTGAGCTTCAGGTAAGCCGGCAGCTCAATGTAGGAACCCAACAGTGTGAGCAGGCAGAGCAGGAAGTCCATGATTTGAAGGGACAGGAAGGGTAGTAGGTACTTCTCCCGGTTCTGGAAGGCAGGCCCACCCTGTCAGAGCCCCCCTGACAAGCCAACAGTTCCCCACGCAACCCATACCCCCAGGCATCCTGTTCCCTCCTGGATGGTATTCACACTACCAAATCAAAGACCAGGGCCTGCCTAGAGCCACAGCCTTCTGTAAGTGATGCTCTGGGGACTGGGAAAGTAGGCATCTCTCAGGGGGTCTCAGAGGACATCAGGGAACCAGCTCCACGTACAGAGGCTCTGTTACGGTTTTTTCTTTGTCTTTTTTTTGAGACAGTATCTCATATAACTCAAGTTAGTCTCGAACTTTACACCCAAACTTGAACTCCTGATCCTCCTGCCTCCACTTCCTGAGTACTCGGCTCAGGTTACAGGTGTATACTACCATGCTCAGTTTATGGGGTGCTGAGGATTGAACCCAGAGCCTTGGGCTTGCTAGGCAAGCACTCTACCAACTGAGCCCAGGGACAAGGTTATAAGATGGGGGTGGGGGGTACTAGGAGGTGTGGCCTGGGGGGTACACCTTAGACAGATATACCTTATCCCTGACCTTTTTCCTTTTTGCTCTCTCTGCTTCCTGGCTACTATGAAGTAGCAGCTTTACCAGCCACACCCTCCCCACCATGATATCCTGCCTTGTCTCAGACCCAAAGAAATTGAGTCAGCACATTGTGGGCTGAAACAGCCCAAGAAACTCCTTCTAGTTGATTCTCTCAGGTATTGTCCAACAATGGACCCTGGCTGACAGGCTTGGAGGCAGGACCCAACTCAGTTCCCTCTCAAGAACCCATAGACAAGGCTTGGTGTCCAATCTACAGAGAAGGGCACCCTGGAAGGGAGACACTTAGCTAGATTCAGAAAGGGGATAGGAACAGGAGGACAGGGCCAGGGGCAGAGGCACCAGTGCGCAAAGGCCCCAGAGGGAGGTGCCTGCCCTGTGTACACGGCCACCTTCCTTCTGCCCTGTGGTCACAGCCAGATGTGACAGGACATGGAAAGAGGCCTCAGGAGGCCAGTCAAGGTCTCTCTCTCCCTCCGTCAGAAGCCAGTGCCCACTATGACCAGCACCAATGCATATGTGCCCACTCTGGGGGCAAAGATACAGAAAGAGAGGTTTCCTGGGGTCTCGTGGGTGTCTAAAACCACTCCGGAGGTGATCGAGAGAGACCTGTTTGAGTCTTGGGGAACCCCTGCTCTGCCTTTCTAGTCAGACACTGTGAGCTTCTGTGGCAGCCCTGCAGCCACACTGTGCACTGAGGACACTTCCTGGGAAGTGGGGTTCCAAGCTATAGGAGGGGTGGCTAGGGTATGTGACATTCCGGACCAGTGCTGAGCCACCACTCCTCTGCCCACCATCAAGGTGGTAAAGTGTCCAGGTCAACTTCCTCCCTTGCTAGTAGCTGTGGGACAAATGGCTGCACTTTTGTAGGAAGTGGAGCCACAGCCTGGCTCGATCTCCCCCAACTTCCTCCGGGTCACCCAACTCTGTGAGTCCACCTGTCTTCCCTAGCATGACCACAGGATCCTGGGATTTCAAGAGCATGGGTCCCTCTGCGGGGCAAAGCTGGCTGGCTGTCTCGTCATCCTTGTCCCTGGGGAAAAGCCCAGTGCTGGCCCCTCTCCCCACTCCCACATCCCCCTTCCTCTTTTCTCTCCAAGCCCCCAGCCCCACTTGCAGTCTGTAGGACATGGGTCTCCAGAAACCCCACTGCCCATGGCACAGTCCAGGCCCTGGGAGGTTCCATCTTAAAGGGAATTAAGGCCAGAAGTTCAGGGAGTGCCATGGGAGAGGAGGCTCCCTGAGGACACATGTGAAGGTCTGTGGGGTGCTTGGGCGGGCTGGAGGGGAGAACACCTTGGCCTAGCCCCTCCATCCCTGCTCAGGCCTTACCTTGATCACACCGAACAGCAGGCTGAGACTGATGGCAAACAGCACTCCAATGAGCAGGAAGCTGGAGAACAGGTCCACTGTAAGGCAGAGCAGAGAGGTGAGACCCAGGCAGAGCAGAGCCCTGAGTCGTCCTCCATCCCCTCCCGCCCCACCCCACTAGGAACCTCAGTTCACAATTTAGAAACTGCTTGTGTGGGGACAAGCATGTGAACAGGGAAACCCAGGTCCAGTCCGAGGCCTGGCTGGATCTCCTGACCCAGGTAAGGGCAGGAAGGAATCCAAAGGAAAGGCCTGTGTTTGACAAGGAGTCCCAGCAGGGGGAGGGACCGGGACGGTGTGAAGTACGGCAGGTCAGAGTGTCAGAACCTAAGCCCCTAGTGTGGACAAGGACAGCCCCTTTCACAGATGATCTAGTTCAGACTCCTAGAGGCACAAGGGTGTGCAGAAGTCCAGTGAGGATGACTGGACCTCAGACCCTGGGCCATGTGTCTTGACCATGAGATGCCCATCGGTCCCCCTCCCAACACCACTGCCCTCAAACCTACCAATCTTGAGGTATGGCATCTTAGCAAACCTACAGGAGGCCTTGCCACGGGCCACCTCCACTGTGTGCTCGATGAACAGCAAGACACTCATGACCTGGGAGAGAGCAGGGCACCAGTTAGTCGACCCCCATCCCAGTGGGGTGCTGCCAGGGGCCTGGGGTAACAATTCACCCAGTGGACATCCTGGTTAATGTTTCAGTCTCTAGGAAGGAGTGGCTCAAGCACCTCATTCATCCTGGCCCTTCCTCTCCTCTGCTGTGTGACCTCAGGCATGTGACCTGACTTCTCTGTGCCTCAGTTTCCTCATATACAAATATGGCTCATATAAGTAGCTACCTAGGGTGGTTCCTGTGAGGGGCCTAGGGTAGATTCAGAGCCACACCTGGCTCTCTGGAAGCACTGCCTCTCATTGATGAAGGCCAGGCTCTACAGGGAGACTGAGGACACCCACCCTGGATACATCCCTCCCCTGTATTCCAGCAATAGGCTCTGGCTGATGTGGAAACTTGTCACAACATCAGAGCATCATGGCGTTGAATGGACCATGAACAGAGACCGTGAGTCAGTGGGTAACTAGTCACTGCTTTTCCCATCTTTAAAATGGAGCTGATAACACCATCTTCCTAGGGCTTTGGGGATCAGGCAGGATGACTGACCAAAACAGATAGGAAAGCCTCTGTCTGTACAGGCAGAAGGTAGGTATGGCTTGGGCTGCCGGCTCCGGCAAGGGGAAACCTGGGTCTCTAGTTCTACCTGCTGCATTTAGAGAATGAAGGAATGAAGGAAAGAATTAATGAATGAAGCAAGCCTGTCCCCTCAGGGACCCTTGTGATAGAGAGGGAGCAATTCTGATGGGCCCGCATATCAATTGGAGGCTTAGCTGCCAAAGTTGCAGTTTAAAAGGATGTCAGAGATCCTGTCTTGTTCACACCCTGATCATTCAGCACCATGCAGTCATGTGGACCTCACGAGTCCACACCATTCCAACAAATTCCACACCCCTTCTCTACTACAACATATCCCAGGAATGATCTACGCATGCTGAGTACAAGATTATCCCCTCCCTTGCAGTAGGTGCCCTTTCTCTATTAATGCAGCCTAAGTTCACATCGTCTAAGTAGCAGGTCATGCTGAGCTAACAGGCAGCCAGAGAGCCTCCATCTGTTTCCCCTTGCTGATTGCGGGGTTGGTTGGTTTGTTTTTAGCTCAGATACAGATCTCAATTTATCTTCCTGCCATTATACATCCAGTTCAGGGAGTCAGAAAGGGACGGCACAGGAAGGTGATGAAAAGCTGGCTCTGGGATTTGGATCCAGATTGCTGTGTGTCCTTGAGCAAGTCAACTGACCTCTCTGAATTTGCTCACCTGTTAAAAAAAGGCACAGACTACATTGAGTTAAAAAACGCTTTAAGCTAAGCCAGGCATGGTGATGCACGCCTTTAATCCTAGCACTCTGGAGGTGGATCTCTGTAAGATCAAGGCCAACTTGATCTACATAGTGAGTTCCAGGCCAGCTGGGGCTACAGGGAGCCAGGACCTGGCAGGATCAGAAGTCAAAGTCTGCCTTGGGCTAGATAAGTTTATTTGGAGCAGTTGGAGCACCCGCCAGGGCCAACAGGCCCCCTCTAGCCTGCTCCATGCCTGGCACACAGGGGGTTAAAGGCTCTGCTTCATCCAAAAGACATGCAGCCACCCTGAGGTTCTGTGCTGGGTCACAGGAAACTTCCCTGAGAAAGGGCTGGAGCCCCACCCCTAGACCCCAAATTCTGTTTCTGGTAGCCTCTTTAATGAGCCCATTCCAGGATGCCATCACTAAAAGCGTGCACCACCATGCCTGAAACTATTTCTAACTCAATATAGCCTGTGCCTCCTGAACCTGCTATTGCCTTTTTACAGGTGGGCAAATTCGGAGAGATCAGGTGACTTGTTCAAAGACACCCAGCAAGGGAAAGGGGGACAGATCAGGAGAGGGAGTACTGTGAGGCTGTGTAAGCAGAGCACAGACGAGCTGTAAGTGGGCTCAGAATGGGCGCACAAGCATCTACAGGTGTGACAGGAGGAGACTTTTCAAGTCCCTGGTTCTGAAAAGCAGCTCAAAGCAAGACAATCACAACTTGGATTTGCCAGATGAGCCCTGGCCTGCTTGCTTTACAAGCTTCCTCTGTTCCTTTCATAAGTTCAGCGAAGTTAGGAGGCACATCTGAAGTCACCCAGCAAGGCAGGGGCAGGGTGCTGTCCTGCCACCTTCCAGCCCCCAAAATTCCTTGAGCCGGCTCTGCAGGTCCAGACCCTAGCGGGAGCAGGCACCATAATCATACACCAACATCATGAAGCGCTTACACACACGTCCACATTTCTAAGTTTTGGGCAGTGTCCTAAAAACACTGTAAAAATTCACCAAGAATTTCCAGACATTAATAAAAGAGATGAAGTGGGGCGTGGTGGCACACACCTTTAGTCCCAGCACTCAGGAGGCAGAGGCAGGTGGATCTCTGTGAGTTCAAGGCCAGCCTGGTCTACATAGCAAGTGCCAGGCCAGCTGGGGCTACAGGGAGACCCTGTCTCAAAAAAAAAAAAAAATTAAAAATTAAAATAAAGGAGATAGTCAAAACTTTAGAAATCCCAATATTGTGGCCAGGTTATGGCTCCATTGGTAGCACACTGGCCTAGAATACAGGAAGCCCTGGGCTCCCTCTCCAGCACCGCATCTTTTCAAACATGGTGGTTCATGCCTGTTAACCCAGGATTTGGCAGTAGAATTGGCAGTTCAAGGTCACCCTGACTAGAGGGGAAGTTTGGGGCCAGCCTGGACTGTGTGAGACTCAGTCTCAAAATAAATAAGCTGGAGAGATGGCTCAGCAGTTAAGAGCACTGGCTGCTCTTGCAGAGGACCCAGGTTCAATTCCCAGCACCCACATAGCAGCTAAAAACTGTCTGTAACTCCATTTCCAGGGGATCCAATGGTCTCTTCTGACCTCCATGGGCATTGCACAGCATGGTGCACTTACATGCATGCAGGCAATATACTCATACACACACAAAAATAAATAAATAAATAAATAAATAAATGTCCTATTATTGCATCCTGAGACCCCAAGATCTCCTTGACTGTCACCCCACATCAGAGACCACAGCACCTCACAGTCCCCACCCCACCAACTCCTCAGCCTGGCCCCTCCATTCACACCCCAGCTATAACCCTTGTAAGTGGCCGGTGACCTGGGAAGGGTCAGGAAAGGGCCATGAAAGTGTATCTACACAGTGTATGCCATAGCAGGAAACACTAGCGGACTTTTGGATCCCTCGTGAGGGACACATCCCTGCTACCAGGAAACATTTCACCAGCAAGAAAGCCTAGCATGGGGCTTTGAAGGATATGTAGTTTTCCAATAGGAAAGAGAGGAAGATGTTCCAAGTTGTGAGACCATCACATGCAAAGGCGCAGGGGCCTGGCAGTGTGGACAAATCTGGATCCCTCTAAAGAGGATGTCCCTTCCCTAAGAGAAGGGATGTGGCAAGGGAGGCCCAGAGACAGAGATCAGGCCAACGTGACACAGCATAACTATTGCAGCAACAGAATCAGCTCAGAACCCTCTGATTCAAGGTAGGGAAGTGAGGCTGCAGCCCACACCCTGCTCAGCCTCCCTACCACACTCCTCTCTGCCTTCCCCTTTCCGCCCCCCCACCCCCACACACACTCTGCTGCCTGGTTCCTCCAAGGAAGTGGCAGGAAGGGGCATGGTTGTAGGAGGCTGAGGGAGAAGCCACAGCCCTGGCTGTGGGGACAGGCATGATAACATGAGGAAGAGGTGCAGGCAGGAGGGCTGAAGGCGGTGGACCTGCTGGCGGGGAGAGGCTGCACCACTTTGCTGGAGTCAGCTTGGTGTGACTGTGGCTGAGGGGGTTGGGGGAGGCTAGTGATAGGGAAAACACCAGTGGGCGGGCTAGGAGGCCAGAAGTAACAGCTGTGGCCCCCGTTATCAAAATGCTGCCACTGATATGGATGGTATTAACGGGATGACAGGGGCAATGCCCGGATGTTGTGGCGATAAGGGTGATCGCATAGGTGGATGTTGCTGACATCAGATCCCTCACTCTGAGGTTCAAATGACGCAGCACAGAAAAATTAGGGGTCGTGGGAAAGAAAGAAATCCCTCAGTCCAAAGTCTGGTTGAGGCCTCTCTCCAGCTGAGGATCAAGAGTTCTAAACGGGACAGGGATGGCTCAGCGATGGGGATGCTTGCCTCCAAGCCCGTCCACCTGAGTTTGACTCCTGGGACCCATGTGGTGGAAGGAGAGAACAGACTCTGGAAAGTTGACTCTTGACCTCACACATGAGCTGCAGCATGTTCCCCCATACACACAAATAACTGAATAAGTGTAAAACAAATATTTTTAATAATTCCCAAACAATTAGAACAACTGCTTAAGGCCTCTCTCCTTTCCCATCTGTTTCTAGAACTCTTACCCATTTACAATAAAAACCATGTCCTAAGCCCTCTGTGTGATCACAGTAGCTCCTGGTTTTGCCTTGTCAGGTGATAATCTCACTCAAGACACCTCAGGAACCACCCTGGAATCTCACTTACCAAAGCGAGAGAAAGGGAAGAAAAATAAAATGTCTCAGCAAACTTTTGAGATGTAACTTGAGAGCCACCAAGATGGTCTATAAGTCAATAGCAGAAAGTGCTAAATCACAGCTCTCCTATGATCAGCCCACGTCCACATGTGATTATGTCTTATTCTTTGTCCCGTCCCCTTTAACCCTCTGTTTAAAACTTTGAATTAAAATATCTTTTTTAAATGATTACATTTATTTAGTGTTTGTGTATGTATGTGGGCACACGTGTATCATAGATGGAAGTGGAAGAGGAACAGAGGATAACCTATGGGGAGTCGGTTCTCTCCTCCCACCATGTGTTTCAAGGTTTGAACTCAAGTCATCAGGCTTGGCAGCAAGCGCCCTTACCCCTTAAGCCCCCTAGTCCCAAGATTCTATTCTGCCCTGTTGAAGCTGACATTGTGGAACTGTGTCTCTGTTCCTATGCCTGATGACACAAAAACCAACTCTTGCTTCAGAAGGATGGGCCCAC